TATTTTGACTTTACAGTTAACATCTAACCTTTAGATCCAATGATTTAGATGTATAATGAACTAATTTGCAACTAATTCTAATCTCCTGATTCCTCCTTGTCTCTTTTTCTTTCTCTTCCCAAATTTATTTCACTGGATTATACTCTTTAAATAACATCTTCAAATCCTAATGTTTCCGATTGCTCCTTATAATCTTACTACCTCTACCACTACTGAATTTGAATTGACAACTGCATCTCTGTGCTAATGTGATATGGCAACTCGAATTGATGTACGTACGTACGAAGTTCTACGTTGTTACTGACTGGTTGAATTCATTTTACCACCTTATGAAAATAACGATTGTTTACCTATGTGTATATAGTTATAAAATCTTCTTATTAAAAAGTACCATACTGGCTTAGTTTGCCCTAAATAAAACAGTTCTCTGAAAAATTATTTACTGGATATAACTTGTTTATTGGATAATGTAAATTTCTAATTAATTTAAATTACATTTTAGAAAACAGGAATACATACACTGAAAAATGCAACAAAAGAGAGCTTAGATCGACTGATGTATTCAACTGTTAAAATTACTATAATTTCCAAAAATTCACATTAGGATAATAATCATATGGTCATTAGTGACTAGCTTCAAGATGGATTTTTTGGTTTTCTAGTGAAAAGCTCTAACCAGTTGAGTCCAATCCACGTCGAGTGAGAGACAGTTATCTACCTCGGACAATGGGTGAAGGGTTGCGCAAGGTCGTGGATCGATTGAAGTTAGACATTAACATCGTTGGATGCTGGCTCAATGGTCTAGAGGTCAAGTGTTTGCGCGTGAGATCTAAAATCCTAGAATGGAGTTCCGTGTACGGGATCATGGATGTGCATTTCTAAGGAGTCTCATACTAAGACGAAATAGTCGTCAATTGCTTCTAAATTATCAAATATGGTCCAGCTTAAATCGACTAATGAATCCAATTGTTAAAATTACTACAATCTTCGAAAATCTCTATTCTGCTAAAATAGAGCAGTTCAACGGAAAGATCGTAAATAACTCGACCAAATAGTATATTGTAAAAATAAGTAATTTCATTGTTATCAACTCATTAATCAAAATCAACACTAGAAAATCTACAGGAAAAACATATCAATTTCAATTGGATTTAACCACAATGCTGAAGATTTTGTCAATTAACTCATATCAGTATAAGGGCTGTTTTGAGATTGGTTCATGATCTCAATCAAAAACTCAATAATCTACAACAACCCCTATACTAATAATTAACATATGTGCTCACTAGTGACTAGTTTCGTGAGGGAATTCTCGGAGTTCTAATTAGAAGTCGTGACCAGTGGAGCTGATTCACCGTCGGGTAGAGACAAGTATCTACATCAGTACAATGAAAAATGGTCGCGCAATTTCGTGAATTGATGTTGGACACTAACATCACTGGATGCCGACTCAGCGGTCCAGTAGGTTAAGCGTTCGTGCACGAGGTTGAAGGCTCAAGATTCGAATCCCGAGATCAGGATCATGGATGCGCACTGCTGAGGAGCTCTGAAATAGGATGAAACGGCTGTTCAGTGCTTCCAGGTTTCCAACGATGGTCTAACATCAATCAGTTCATGATCTTAATCAAAAAAATTAACTCATACTTTGATTGTTTTAACTTGGTCTACTGTTTTCTAATCTTATTGAGTTAATTGATAATAATCACTATGATAAGAATTCAATAAGAAAATATGTAAGTATTTCACTTACTAGTTTATGAACTCTGAATTAATGCAGCATTAGCTAAAGTTATATTTTATGATCAACTTGTTGTACAGAACATAAATAACCTTGAGGTTCTAGAAACTATATTTTTTTCAAGATTATTTTTGCAAAATTCACTTAGTAACAAAGATGGATAGTGGCTTTGTAAGTTATTTAAACATGAAACAAACATTTGAATAACGTGACTACTCGTAAATTTATTTATTTCCTTTTCTTTTTATTCAGTCTATTGATATGTATTTCATTATCATTGTTGATTATATTTTAAAACTGTTTTAAGTTGTTAAACAAACATGGATAGTGACTAGGAGTGGAATCCAGTTTGACGTGTGTTTTGTCCTATTTGAGACTCGCTAGCTGGATGTACCTGTACCTCAGGGTTGATAATCACTTTAAGACTCAAACCCATTACCGTTCGTTTCAGACGCCATCACATTTTCCACTTAGTTACTGAGTCTTGATAGCCACTTACTTGTGCAATCGGGTGACGTTTAAATTCACTTGGTGTTGTTTTACATGTATCTTTATAAGTGGATACCGTGATGGCATTTGGAACGGATGGTACTGGGTTCGAATCCCAGAGTGAATACCAACTTTGGGAATGCAGTTACATCCAGCTGACGAGTCCCAAATCGGAAAAGAACGCGCATCAACTTGGATTCCACTGTTAGCCAATAACCATCTTTGCTTAAAAGGCATGTGACTTAAGGCTGTATCGATGCAGTCCACTCAGGATGTATATATGCTAACAAGAGACTGATGAATTTCAGTCCTAAATAATAATCGGAAGATACAAGTAAAACGACACCAAGTGAATTTTTCACTTAGTAACATTTAAAATATGCTTAAACATTCAATATGTAACTTTTTAGGATACCTATAATAATGAAAATGAAGAAAACTTCTCATTATTATAACTTACTATTAATCTTAAGATGATATTTTTAACATTACAACTGAATCATTAGTAAATATATTTCTTTCATTATCATAGTCTTTACAATCATTTATTCAAAGATAAAATATTTTAATAGTTGAGATCATGAGTTAATTGAAGCTAGATCACCATAGAAAACCTGGATTCACTGGATGGCTATTTCATCCTATTGTGAAACTTCTCAACAGCGCGTATCCACGATCCTGCCTTACAAGATTCAAACCCAGTATCTATCGGTCTCGCGTGTGAACACTGAACCTATAGACCATTAAGCTAGTCAGTATCCAATAGTGTTACTGTCGCTCTTATATTTATAACAGTCTATAATTATGAAAGATATCTAAAGATATTTAAAGTTTCACATTATTGACTAATTTTACTTAGATAATCACTGGAAAATTACTTTTATTCAGTTTAAATTAATTCAATTGAATAGTATTGTTATAATTTGTGGTCTGTATACCCTGTTAATGTATAACGTGATGGTACCGCCAATTAGAGAGCAGTGAATTATCGATCGGACAAATGACACCTAAAACCCGTGCTAGTAGTCTAGAGTTCTGATTGGTCTTTCTCTCCGCCTAGCCCATTCTGTTATGTCCAGAACACAAATCTCAGCCTCTGCAATATGTATCATGCATTTCAAACATACGGGGTTTATATACCAACCAGACAAACCATATCGTACCAATAAAATAGGAAACAACATTAATACAAGATATAGCAAAATGTAGCTGTCAATATGGGAGGTAGTAATTGATAGACAGGGCATTATTCAAAAATGGTAAGCCGTATAATACTAGTTCATAGGTCAAAATAAAACTTATGATAAGGGGAACATGAATATGAATAGCTTAGTTACTTAACAATTATACGATAAAAATATACGTATAATATTGATCTATAAATGGATCCCAACAGTTACCATTCATCGTGCTTATCGGGATATAACAAGTATAAAATGTCACATACATATCTATATAAATTATAAGTTTATTTGGTTTTTTTTCAACTGAAGTTATTCTTATATAACGTAACCAGCTAAGTAAATAGATAATATTGGGAGTTTAAAAACATAACTATTCATTTATGCATATAATGCAATGGTTATATAATTATGATTATCCATTTTAAGAGTTTAAATTTTTCAGTTATTAATATATTTTTTTATAAGATTTAACTAGTTTCTGTAAAAATATAGGTCCCTTGAAGCATATCTCTTTGATTCTGAACCCGGGAAGATACAAGTAAATAACACCAAGTGAAACAGATAAACACTTTTCAAGAGTCCTATACTAATTTTATTTTTTTATTTATTTATTTGAACACATAAATATTGGTACAAATGGATACCGAATACATATGCACCACACAAAACACTTCATTTGTGGATGGGCTATGATACTGACCGAGTGCCCAAATCAAACCAGGTGGTTCTCTTAAGCGGTCACACTCGAAACCTTCGACCTACAGATCTGATATACAACGTAGTGGAGCAACGTATGAGATGCACTCGCATGATAGCTGGTGACCGAAGATTGGTTCATACACCATTTATTCCTTCAGGATCCTGGAGTCCTTGTGCACCATTGGCTTGGAATGAGGGTTTTCCAACTTCCCTAGGTGAACGCTCCATACCCACTGACCCAGTTAATTCACCGGACATTCTCTTTTCGTCCTCTCAATTTCATAAACAACATTGGTGGTGCGAGAAGGCAATGAGTATGACTTCCCTGACAGATGCTATATACTTGTGACCATGTGAGAACATTTGAAGAGAGAGAGATAGCGGACTCTCGTCACTCTTGGGCGTACCAGGGCATTTGGTGGCATGAATCCATTTCTTGGACAGCTACTTACAAAAGTATCTGTCTCATTCATTTTACTTCATATCAGATAAGAATAATATAATGAAAATAATTTCATTAAACATGAAATATTCTATTTTAATAAATGAACGGATCATTGATATGTGATACTTCCTTGACATGTCCACGATCGATTCTAATCGAACTTGTGAACTATTTCATTAAATAATGAAGACAACTATACACATTAGTTGACATTTTTCTTTCTTGTTTAATAATTCAACAATTAATCTATTCAGTTCAAATAAGGATTATGTGTAGTGTACATAGTTAAATAGACATTAATTCATTGTTATAATAAATATGTATTGAAGAAAGATAATTGAGAACCTTTAATTATACATGTATATATATATATATATATATATATATATATATATATATATATATATATATATATATATATATATGGGTATATATTGTAACTTACCGTGCCATTATACGTATCCTAAAGTATTGAAAAAATTGAGGTGCTTCAGTTGAATTAATTTGATTTGTCCATGGAGATTTATGAAAATTTGAACTGTATCATTCGATAAATAAATCAAGAAAGAATAATAATAAATAAGAATGTTTTTTTTTGAAAAAAGAGAAAATATAAAAATCCGAATGATGAATAAGAATTAAAGTTTTGTCGGATACTGAGATAGAGGTATGTACACTGAATGAAATGCTTCTAAATATCGTAAACCCTGATGATGTTGTCCAGAGTGACAGTAAGATTCTGTAATTAAACTATCTAATACATTAGCCATAGTATATTTCCAGTAATTACATAAAGATGATTAATTTGTTTCAGAAGGGGTCTTGTGGGGATTGTAATAATTTCAATAGTTAAGATCATGAGTCAATTGAAGCTAGACGACCACGGAAAACTTAGAAGCACTGGACGGCCGTTTCGTCCTATTGTGGGACTCTTCAGCAGCGCGTATCTAAGACCCTGTCTCACGGGATTGTTGTTTACATTACTAGTCTCATAGGAATAACAACTTGATAAATAAGAATTAAATGAGCCATTATAGTATATCTAAATCATTTGATAAGATACAGTTCGTAGAATGACAATTGTTAATCTGAAATAAAATTCATTACGAGTTGCCTTTCGGTATATCAGGTAATGACCGATGAACTAAAGAATACATGTCATTAAAGTGATTAAAATAAACAAAGTAAAGTATTACATTCAAAGATTTTTAGGTATATTCAACAAAAGATGTATCCATTCAAATGTTCTGAAAGTTTAATTCGAGCAACATGTATGCAAAGTATTCTTCGAATGTTAAATAGCATTGACTGATACTTTGGCAGTATGATCTGATCTATATTTGTACTTTGTTCATTAAATGATTATTAATACCTATGAACTCATGAACCTCCTCTGTTATATGATTAACTAAACACTTTAACATCTAATAGTTGTTTGAAACGTTATCTATTTCATATTGTGGTTTAAATTCTTGTTCATTAATTAATATAACAAATTCGTTGATTATAACAGCTCTTCACAATGATTTTGTATTACTTCTTCATGTTATATAAGGGTTTCATCAACAACATTAATGTCATAGAATAATGTTTGAAGTTCATCAATAAATTATTTCAACAGAAATATGTGAATGTATTACATTAAGACACTGAAAACAATCGGTTTAATATAATAAACTAGAATGAAACAAATGTTATACATATCGTATATCTCAATAATTGTCCACCCTATTATGAGTCTATGGTAAGAACTATAATCAAATTGATGTAATTACCTTAAACGGTATATCATTTAACCAAAACCTTCACATTCAATAGATATTATGAAAAATCAGTAAATTACTTGACGATAGAATAACAATTTAGTCAGAATAATGTTAATCCATTTGATGTTTTGGTTTCTTCTCAGCTGCTTACAATAGTATATACATATAATACCACTTATCATTGTCATTCTAGTTTTTTTCAATCCATAATGTCCTACTACATAACTTCATATTTTGCTTTGAGAGAGATACTTTTGTAAGTAGCTGACCAAGAAATGGATTCATGCCCCCAAATGCCCTGGTACGCCCAAGAGTGACGAGAGTCCGCTCTCTCTCTCTCTCTCTCTCCAAATATTCTAACATGGCCACACGTATATAGCCGCTGCCAGGGAAGTCATACTCATTGCTTTCTCGCACCACCAATGTTGTTTACGAAATTGAGTGGACGAAAAGAGAATGTCCGGTGATCCATCTGGGTTGGTGTATACGGAGCGTTCACCTAGAGAAGTTGGAAAACCCTCATTCCAAACCAATGGTGTACATGGACTCCCGTATCCTGAAGGAACAAATGGCGTGTGAATCAATCGTTGGTCAGTGGCTATCATTCGAGTGCATCTCATACGTTGCTCCACTACGTTGTATATCAGATCTGTAGGTCGAAGCTTTCGAGTGTGACCGCTTAAGAGAACCATGTGCTTTGATTTGGACACTCGGTCAGTATCATAGCCCATCCACAAATCAAGTGTTTTGTGTGGTGCATATGTATTCGGTATCCATTTGTACCAATATTTATGTGTTCAAATAAATACAATAAATGGATTCAAATTATTCTGTCTAAATTATTGTTCTAGATTTATTTAAGTTCACCAAGAGGACTAACTGTAACCAAAAATTAATGTTAAACTTACTGTGCTGCAACAATTTCTGTAGCAAGACGTTTTATTGTAATATGATTTGATGAATCTTGATTCATAGAATCATAACTATTAGTTGAACTTGATTCAACAATTAATTTAAGTGAAGGTGATTTTGGATACCAAACTAATAATGTTGCACTAGCACTACGACCATCCATTTTTGCTACTAATGGTAATCCTGGAGAACCATCTAATTCTGCACCAGAGAATCCAAGTTTTGAACAAATATCTTGTGCAAAATGTATTACAGCATCATCACCAGTATGACATGTTGCTTTATTAGTGATATCAATTAATTTTAAATCATGTGTTAATCCATATACCCATACAGGATAAATAGTTGGTTGTCCAGTTAAAACTGCAAGATTTACCAATGCCGATGTCTGGTTAATAAAATTTGTTTTTTCAAAAAATAAAACACAATACAAATGCATAATGAAAGATAAGCTTACTATAAAATAATATGAAGTATTCAAGAAAGATTTCATTCATATAGTTCCCTATATTATCTTAAAGAGAGCAAGAACGAAGATTGGTGCAGAATAACATGAATTCATTCTATTTCGTATTGCCTACACCCTTAAAGAGGAATAAATGGAGGTGAACAGGTGTTTAAAGAATAATGGAAAACCACAGAAATTTAGTAAAAAAATATGGGAAACGTGGACATACAAAGTCCAAAGAAACTACAGTAAACAAAAAACCTATTTTTATTCAACTTCAATTCAAAAGTAATGATGTGAAAAAGTCAAACAACATAAGACTAAAACCTTTATTGACATGAACTTATCCTGAAGTTAAACTAATTGTCTTGTCCAAAACAACGTATTCTTTACCATAATCAGAGATCGGTAGATATCCCTTTCATGTTACTATCAACTGTGTATATAAATTTACATGTATCTGTCCAAGCAGTTACATTGGTAGAACAGTAAGGAGAACCTGCGTCTTATTCAAAGAACATATTCCGAAGACTTTAAGATCTAATGGATTAAAAACATTCACCAGTGCCATCACAACACATCTCCTTAATACAGGACATGTAGTCAATACACTGAAGTTCATCAAGTTGATTAACAAACAATCAAACTTCAACCTTTTGAAATTTGCCAAAGCGAATGCATTCAAATGTCGAAAACCAGATCTATGTATCGGAAAGGAGACAGTAATAAATCTTTCTTTGCCCTGATAATATTAAACCTTTTTGTTTATTACGTCATTCATTAGTTCAACTCTTTCTCAAGTTTAGATTATATCATTGTCATTGGTTTCTTCAATTGATAACTGACCGATTTCAATTTTGCATCTTTCTTTATTACCATTAATCTATTTTCAGTTACATCATTAAATAATCACCTATGGTTTGTTAATTCCATGGATTCTAATCACTATTTGAATGTTCTGTAACTTTCCCTCTCAAACTTTATTTACTTATCTGAAACAAAAAGCTTGCATGACTTTATTAACTCTATCGGAATCTTCGCTACATTATGATACACATGTATTCATCCATTAATCCCCCTCTTATGTATAAGTATGTCAATATCTGTGATAACTTTAATTTTCAAATATTTTAGGTTGTAAGCAACTGATGAGAACCTAATGAAATGAAATAAATTCATATCATTCTGTACCAATCTTCGCACTTGCTCTCTTTAAGATTCTAGAAAGAGTCCATCTTTTAAAGCTAAACAAATAATCATTCATAGTTCATTAATAATTCTGTAGGCATATTCATTAAAACACATCTTCAAATAATGTAGAAGACATTTAGCTTTACATTATCTGAAGTTGTTTACTTTAAATAATTTAACTGAAAAGCTTAAATTATTGTTCATGATGTGGCATACAATGTTTACATTAAGTTATTAAACTGAAGAAGTTCAGACAAGTTTTCCGGACGAAACGTCGGAATTATTTTAAATTTTCATATATAATAACTAGACCATTATGATTTGATAAACTTGTTTGTATTCAATTGTTATTATAATTTTTGATTTTTGGATTCTAATCAGTTAATTTGTTGGTTTATTCTTTAATCTTTCTTTTATATATTACCACCATTGACTTAACTTCTACGAATCCAGTGTTCATTTTGTTGTGCTTATGAGGTATGGCAACTTGGACAGATGCATATATATGTGCCTGGTCCTACGTTGTAGCTGACTGACTTATTCTCTAATCATGTGATTGACAAACCTTTATTGCATAGTTTCAAATGTCTAAGTATATAGATATGTGTCGCCTGAAGATTTATTGATTTGACTGTTATTCTTATAGGAAGTTTCTAGTATACTTGGAGGACTAAATATGTAAAATGTTTCATTAGTTGTCCATGAGAATTGAGAGGAGTAGAGAAATGCTGAATCGTTTGATTAATAATATATATTTGCATTTAGGTGTCAGATTTATATACTTTTATTCAATTGACTACTATTTAAAGAGAGAGAAAACAAAGACCGGTACAGAATAATATAAACTCATTTTATTTCGTTATGTTCTCATCAGCTGTTTACAATCTATCATCCTTTAAAATCAAAGTTATCACAGATATTGACGCACTTATACATAAGAGGGGGATTAATGGATGAATTCATGTGTATCATGATGTAGCAGAGATTCCGATAGAGTTAATAAAGTCACAAAACATTTTGTATCGGATAAATAAAGTCTGGGAGGGAAAGTTACAGAACATTCAAATAGTGATTAGAATCCATGGAATTAACAATCATTAGGTGATTATTTAATGATGTAACTGAAAATAAATTAATAGTAATAAAGAAAGATACAAAACTGAAATCAGTCAATTATGAGTTAAAGAAAAATGACTATGATGTAATCAAACCTTGACAAAGAGTTGAAATAATGAAAGATACTATAAAACGGTTGTAATGTTAGAAATATTTATGACTATTTCTTTTTGGACATGGATCTGGTTTTTAGATGTTTGATCACTATAGCTTCGGCAAATTTCGAAAGATTGGGGTTCGATTGTTTATTACATACCTTGAAAGACTTCAGTGTATCTACTTGATATTCTATATCTAGGAAATATATTGAGATGGCATGTTTTTAATTTGCTCGACATTAATAAACGGAGATAGATAGTGGCTAGCAGTGGAATCCAGTAGGCGCGTTTCGTCCTATTTGGGACTCGTCAGCTGGATGTACCTGCATCTCAGAGTCGATTTTCACTCTGGGAAGATACAAGCCAAATAATACCAAGTGAATTCTGATAATCAGTTTTTGATATGGTTGACATTTTTCAATAATTTCAATATATATTTACATCATCATCATCATCATCATCATAAATCACAAAGACATTTCGTAACATTTAGTCAAAATGACTACAATTTCAATCAAATGGTCAAGATCAAAAATAGAACAGATAGCTGTTCAATGTAGACAGAATTGGAATATGATATTTGAAAGAAAAAAAACTTATTTAGTGACATTATAACATACTATGTTTGTTACCGATTATAGTGAAAACGGAGAAGGATTTTGAAGCATTATTTCAAATAAGACAATATAAATATGATACATAAAAGTCAGTTGTTTAGGTTTATATTCAACACTTATTTTCCAAGTTTTTTTTCCATTGAAAAATCTTATTTCTACATATTTCTATGAATGAACTGGGATAAGTATGTAGAGAAATAAGGTAACTCAAATAGAATATTTCGAGTGTTAGCCTAGATAGATAAGCAGCAATTTTGCTGTTATTCACTCATAGACAATGATGTAAAATATCTTTTTTATTTCACTATCTCAATAATTGATTTGCGACCATTACATAAGACCCTATACTCCAATTTCAGCAGTACTAACTCGGTTATTTATTGATGCACGAGAAAAACTTCGAAGATACCAGTGATTAAAAACCTGCAACTTGGTTATCAATATAAACATATATCAAAATAGATAATATTGGTGAAATAGACTAAGATTTGATCATAGCATTCATAGTTTAATTTAAAGATGTAATTTATTCATGTCAATAATGGAAGACGAAAAGGGATAGCTAACTTGATATTAAGATTTTCAGCTGTATAAGAGGTTTCTTTTAAAGAAGAAATTCCATAACAGCTTATTAGACTTTAAAAAATGAACAAACTTCACAATTGATTGATCACTGGGTGGTGATCAATGTCTTGTCTGTTAAGTCCTTATTTAGTGCAGATCGAATGCTATCGATCATGTTGCAATGTGGCCACCAGTCTAAGTGGCTCAACACCGCGTGCACTATGTATTGAGATTAGATGGTGGTTGGAGGTAGTCAACAGGAAACCCTGGACCCGGGTTTCATGCTACTTGGCACTCGTCAACAATGTGTACCTGTAATCTTGAGGGAACTGGTGCTCCCTGATGGGTTCGATTCCGTGTCACATAGCTTTGCATTCAGAGACGTTACCACTGAGCTGTTTTACATAAACTTTCTTGTAAATTACAATAAAGACCGAAAACTGTTTCATTTTCATTCATAACGTCTTTACTTACATCTCGTTTAAAATTCATGTTGCTATTTTCGACATATTTTACTAATACAGTTCGACAATTTTGGCCAGCACACAACGGTGCCAGGCTTGATATTGATAATGACTGACTAGTTTGTTGAAATATACTTTAAATAAATGCAGGTCAAGATAACCAGTGTAGCAATAGCCTCTGTATCATTACGCCTAAACACATATAAGGGAAAAGCAAGATCTTCAAATACAATACGGAGAACACCAACTCAATTACACTTGATGGATAAACTATGGAAGTGGTGAAAACTTTCAAGTACCTGGTCAACATCGTCGATGAATGTGGAGGATCCGATGCAGACGTAAAAACAAAAATTGGCAAAACAAGGACAGCCTTCTGTTGTGGATGCGGAAAAATAGACCAATAATTATGATGTTAAGTCCAATGGCGTCCTTGGACTTTAAATGGACATTTCCTATTGGTCGATATCTGTTCACTTGTTGAATATTGTACAAAATGTTGTTTTCTATTTTTTATGGTACGATGTGGTATGCTTGATTGGTATATAAACAAAGTATGTTTGAAATATAATGATTCATAACTCAGAGGCCGTGACTTGTGTTCTGGATTCAACTGACTGGGCTAGACAGGGAAGTGGGACCAATCGAGACTCTAGGTCGTCCGCTACGTGTTTTACGTGTCACTGTCCATTAAATCGATCAATAAAACGCTGCTTATCAAAAACCTGCAGTCACACACACGTTACAACACCTTCCTATAGTTGAAGATCGTATGGAACTCAAAACAACTGTCGACCAATATCAAAATCGCATTCTTCAATATGAACGTAAAGATGTTTCTACTGTACGGGGCATAAGTATTTCTAAACAGTTGTCTACACAAGATACTC